TTCTGGTTCTCCAGAATTTCCGGGACAGCTGGCTGAAAGGCCACAAAGTGAAGTGCCAGCAACACCATAAAGTCCCTGTTTAAAGTTGACAGTTCCAGAAATGGCCACTAGAACAATAAACTTCAATTTTTTCTCTTTGAAGAGTATAAAATGAAATGAAAAATTCACAAGGTTCTAACCATCTCAAGGGGATCCATTTGTTGGGCGACCTAAAATCAGGGGAGATTGACAAGATTTAGTCCAAATTCACGCCATTTTGTGAGTTTCAAAACGAGAAATGTGAGATCTCTCTGTTTGAGAAATTGCTATGAAATAATGACTTCTTATTCATGTTTATTAAAAGAGATATGTATAAATTCTACTTACATCACCTGACTGGCCCAAGTGCCCTTCCAGGTATGCGCCAAGCTCCTCTAAAAAGTTGGCAATTTGGGCGTCAGTCAATGTGAGCTGCAAAATGAAATGTTTTTTGATCTTGAAAAACTATTCTATGTTCGAAGCTGAGTTCAAGAATGTGGCCTCGTTGCTAAGAGTCGAAATTGGGAAATGAAGAATTTTTTACCATAGGGTTATTAATTGATGTTGAGATGACATGTCTCTCTCACACAACACGCGAAACAAAGGGACTCGGAGACTCAGAGCTTACGAAGACTAACAACAATACTTCCGCCAAGTGGTTGTTTGCCAAGATTGTCTGCGCATGCTCATTTTACATCAGAAAAAAAATGGCCGCGACGGCGATTGAAACATGTATATTATCATCGTTACTATAAGACGTACCTTTTTGCAAGGTCTTTCCAAACGTTGAGAAAGCCTGTTAACTCGGGAACGCCCTACAAGCCCGTCTAAACATTTAAATTCTCATTTTGTTTTCTGGCTTGTAATAAAAGGCTTTTTAATACTTGTTAAGGACGGTCATCAGGTGTTTTATATTTGAATCCGGGCTTAAGATAACTTGCATTCTCGTCAATTTACATGGTGCCTTTTTGCTAACTATAAAATTGGAGTCGATAGAAAAGGGATTAAAATATTTTTACTATAGGGGTGCTTCACCCATCACCCATTAAGCTTGGACAGAAACTCAGGAGAGGCCAATGGTTTAAACACAGGTTCATTCATTGGTTATTACTTTCATGTAAAGGAGCCGTTTTGTTTTGAGTGTGTGTAACACAGGGTTACTCAGATCTGTGCATTGTTTCTGAGCTCAATAGAGCATTTATTAAGTCTTGTTTTCTGGATTTAGGATTCAATTTCTGCTCAAGCAGGGTAATGAGGTCAGGAACCTTCTTCTTCTTGAAGACACTTTCAGTCATTGCTTGTGACGTTGGTCTTGTTGACAGAATTTAGGGTGAAATTACGGCAACCTTCTTTGCAGTCTTCTGCGTGCCACCATCCATCCAAAATGAGCTGTTTTCCATCTTTTCGTATGGCCGTTTAGCTCTTTCTTCCTCTCTCAGCTCCTCTTGCCTTTTCTCCACCAGCAGCAGGTTTGTTGCAGCATCCCATCTGTTGATTTTACAGTGGAAA